AGAGAGAACCAGCAACCCCCAACTCCCCCAGGTCACTACTGAGTAAGTGGCAACACTGAGAATAGCACCCAGGTGTCTCGACTCCTACACCTCTTCCCTCCCAGCTCTGATGTGAAGCCAAGCCTACCAAAAAACCTTGGAGGAGTGGGAGGAAAGGGGGGAGCCAGCGCTGACTAAGGTTATAAATAAAAGCGGTGAGAATGTGACTAAGAAGGTGCTGCTAAGCTAAATAACTAAGAGCCTTAGCACATTTTTGCAAGCTTTAGGAAAGCATTTTCCATTCTTGGATAAGGAAGTTGGCAGGCAAAGGCAAAAAAAAAAAACACCCCACAGCTGCTTCCCCTTTGTACCTTGGGCTAACATATATAACTGGGTGAAAGGGATTCCAGTGGGGCATGCAGACCCCAAGATATTATTCTCACTTACAGTCAGACCCCTTTTCCTCCTCTCCATTGTAGCACCATAAATGAACATGACCATAATTACTCTTTAAAGCCCCTTCCTATGCCACAGCAGCACAAAATAAGGATCAAACCTGCTTTTATTATAGTACCACTGAGACCTCCCCATGTGCCAGGTACTGTATCTGCATATTGCAAGAAGGTAGTCTCCTGCCACGCAGGGTTTACAACAAGCAAAGAGGGGAACAACAAGGTAACAGGGAGATAAATAGTCTTGCATTTGAATGTGTTTTTACCAAGTCTATAAAGAATGCTTCCTTAAGGCCAGGCCTGTCCTCCCAGCTGCAATAAAAAAAGAGAGTCTTGTTATATAATGTCACTCTTCCCTGTAAGTACCCCAGAGCCAACCACATCACGCCATGATATGGCAACCTGGCATTAAAACAGAAGCCAAAGCTATTCCAAGCTTTGACCCTATACAGACAGAACTATGCTGCGCTTCAAACACTGGAGGGGTCCCAAAGAAGGCAACTGGGTTATTTCCCATTTAAAGTCTTTGCAGGATGGTGGTCTTAGGTTCACAGGGCCTTTCACTTAGATGGGAAGCAAAGAAAAAAAATACATACGAAAAGTGCGTGAGATTTTGAAAAAAGACCATCTCCCCTATAACCTCAAGTCTACATACTTACATATAGAATATCATACTGGCTCAGTAGTGATAACCACAAAAATGCAAAAAATCGTGGCAGGAAAAAAACCCCCATGAAATGCACTTCAAAAAAAAAAAATCACCAGGTCTTTTTTATTATTTATTTGGGAGTTTCTTTCATCTTCCTTCTCCTTCTTGGTCCTGTTTGGTTGTGACTGAGTCACATCGTCAAGCTTTTCTCTGCATCTTTGAGGGATACAAACTTACTTGCTATAATAATAATAATAATAATAATAATAATAATAATAATAATAGGCTGGAATTCTGCCTTCATTGTAGGGCTCCAGCTGCTAAGGTTTTAAGGGGGGGAAAAAACCCATAAAATGTTATGAAACTTGCTATAAAATCGTAAGAGTTGAAATGCAGGTGGGTTATATCATAGAGATAGATAGAAATAGAGATAGTTCTTTTGCTCTCCTATGTGAGAGGCACACCAATACATGGATACAAGGCAAATATAACTATGTACATACACATGGGCTGATTTTCCATTACCCTGAACCACCGTTCTTTCGACCAGTGGGAAGTGGCTGCAGAACGCCACGCTCCGATTTGACCGTGTTTCATGCGGACTTTCCTCAGAAATAAATGACAACCCCAAGTGCGGAGCAATGGAAATCGGGAGCTGCAGATTTTTTTTTCTTTTTACTGGGAAAAAAAATAATTGATTAGCAGTCCACCAAAAAAAAGAAAACGAAAAAAAGAACGATTCTGGAAATGCAACCTCGTTGCCAGTGACACTCAGAGAAAATTCTGAAATTGAGCTGAAAATTCGCAAGTTGAGCTTTTAAAAAACTAAGCTGACGCCATCTGTTCTGCGGTAGCCCACACATCTATATTTTTAAAGGCCACCACACATTTTTTTCACCAACCCTGCTGATAACTGTGTGCAAGAGAATGGAAGCAGTTAATTCATTTGTGTTTTCGGCCCCCAACCCCTACCCAAGAAAAATAGGCGACAAAAAACACCTTGGGGTTTCTTACTCTAAGACAGCTGTCTCGATGTACAAACCCCCGGAGAGACGAGGGACAGGTAGATTTTGACCTTGGCTAGCAGCATCACGGGCGATATTGTACCCATGGCCAGGGGGGTTTTTTTGCAACACAGAGGTCTTCATTTCCACAATGAATTTGAACTCTCCTATGAAATATGAACTTTCGTTGCTACCTGGGAAAACTCTTACAACCTTTTCTCCTGTGCCGGAAGACGGATGCTTGTGCCTGAAAGCTTGCAAATAAAGATTTTTTTTCGCAAAAATCAAGTTGGTCTAATAAAAGGTATCACCTCTCCCACGAGTTCCGATTCAAGGATTTTATATCGAGATGGGGATCTCCACGTTAAAGAGATCCCCCCCACAACACACACACACACACACACACACACACACACTGAAGACGTAGCCTCAGACTAGCCGAGATAAATCCACATCCTTGCCCACGGGTAATCCTGCCACTACTTCTCCATGCCACGACTCTCCGTGGGGTGAACAATGCAAGTGCTATGTCATGCAGTGAGCTACCAGCACATCACTCATTACCTGCGAGCAGGATCGGCCATTTTAGAGATGCCAGCTGCCTAAAATGGTGGATTTCCATCTTCCCCCCCCCACCTCTTTCTCTTCTATTCCTTCCCCCCCGACACACACACATACACACACACACACACACACACACACACACACGGGTGTAAGCTGGGAGCAGGGAGAGAGCTCGGTATTCGTGGCATGGTGCGGAGGAAGGTAGGCCACGGAGCACCGAAAGCAGCAAGTTAAAAAATGAGACCAGCAGCAAAGAAAGGATGCGCTTCGGCTCAAAAAAGGCCTATCTGCCTTTGGCTTTTGTGTGCTCTGCGGAAGGAAAAAGGCAGAAAGACATCCCGTTAAAATCTCCATTTGGGAGAGGACAGCGAGGGGACATCTGGGGGGCAGGGGGGGCGGAAAAAAAGTCTTCCATTTTTTCTTTGCCGACCCCCCTCTGCCTCCCCCCACAATCCTGCTTTGACTTTTCCCACAGAAGTAGCCAACCTCCAAGAATGCAAATGACATTCATTATGCAAATGCATGCAAATCAGGTTTAACTATCGGAAGAGGGGCTCGGAATTTCTAATGGGTTAACTCTTTCGCTCACGGCCGCGATGACAATCCTGAAAGAGCCAGTGTCTTCCCGTGGCTTTTTATTTTCTTTGCCCCCC